CAGAAGAAGAAAGATCGGATGGAGAAGGATCGGAAGGATAGGGATCAGAAAGAGAGGGATCAAAAGGAGAGAGATTGGAAAGAGAGAGATCGGAAAGAGAGGGATCGGAAGAAGAAAGATCGGATGGAGAAAGATCGAAAGGAGAGGGATCGGTAGGAGAAAGATCAGAAGATGAAAGATCAGAAGGAGAGATATCGGAAAGAGAGGGATCGGAAGAAGAAGGATCGGAGGGAATAGGATCAGAAGGAGAGGGATTGGAAGGAGAGATATAATAATGAGAGAGATCAGAAGGAGAGAGATCAGAAGGAGAGGGATCAGAGGAAGAGGGATCAGAGGGAGAAGGATCAGAGGGAGAGGGATCGGAAGGAGAAAGATCGGAAGGAGAGGGATCGGAAGGAGAAGGATCCGAGGGAGAGGGATCGGAAAGAGAGGGATCAGAACAAGAGGGATCGGAAGGAGAAGGAACCGAGGGAGAGGACTCGGAAGGAGAGGGATCAGAAGAAGAGGGATCAGAAGGAGAAGGATCAGAAGGAGAGGGATTGGGAGGAGAGGGATCAGAAGGAGAGGGATCGGAATAAAAGGGATTGGAAGGAGAGGGATCGGAATAAGACGGATCGGAAGGAGAAGGATCAGAAGGAGAGGGATCGGAAGGAGACGGATCAGAAAGAGGGGTAGAAGGATCCAATGGATCAAGGGGAATGCAATCGATGGGATTGGGAAGAATTTCGGCAACTTTATAAAATATTCTAGCTGGGTTAAATATAACCATACATTTGTTTAAAAAGGTGCTGTATATAAAAGGATTGATAACTGAGTTTATTGGAAGTATGACAATAGAAAAGAGGCTGTACTGCGCTGAAGCGTCAATAACACCGAAGTAGTGAAGACCACTCACAATAACGAATGGTATCCAGCAAACAAAGTTTGTACTGATGATAGCAGCTATCTTTCGTTGTAGTTTTTGGTTCCTCCTTCGGACCATTTTGGACGTTGGGGTCTTTCCCTTTGTCAGAATGCCGGAATCTTAATTGTTTTGGCGTTTATAAAGATATACGAAATAGCAACCATGGCAAAACAAAGAATGTTAATTGATAAAATTGTCAAACTGAACCGTCTCTGAGGATCATTCTGGTGAACAAAATATTTGAAGAGACACACTCCATCGTTACCATAAAAATCAACCCTTCCTACTTTTCCATCCAAATTGCCATAATCATTTGAAAACATAGTCCTCATAAGACTCAAGATAAGTGACCACTTCAATGGCTGCCTCTTTGCCCTGCCAAAGTATCGCTGGATCACATCAAAATGCCTATCCTTTCCAGCTTGTTCGATAAATAGCTTCATGTCAGTATCGTAGGTCAATCCATTTACAAATAAGTCTTCGAAATATGGAAGCAAGGGTGCAAGGGCAATTAATGAGGTCACAATAATCACAGGAAATATCATCACCACAAACTGAACGAGAATTTTTGTAAAGCTCAATCTCAATCCAGAATTTGATCTCACCATACTGTTTTGAATTCCAAAAACTCGACAGATACTGAGAATGGCTAACGAAACAACAGAGATCTGACTTCCAATCGTGCTAATTACCCCCAAAGCTGAACAATATTTACTACTCAGCCATTTCAACTGCCTTTCGCAGAAGTTTGCACCATATGTATAGTCAACAATTGCTAATGAAAATAGATACTGTCCGGTTAGGAAGTCTCCAATACTAATAACCATAATCATTATCTTGTTTGCCAGCATTGTGCGAGATTTGCATTTCTTCAAATCCGCCCCATTTTCAATCATAATAACGATATTATTGTCGCAAGGAAACCAATTCCAAAAGCGGCAATTTTTTGAGCTAATCCATTTATCACCTGCTTACCACACTCTTCATTACACTCATCCGACCAATCTTCGCAGTTTGCGGTGCCGTCACATTTTTGGGTGATGGGAATAAACGCACCACCACATTCGAAATGGTTTCCACAGTTCAGTTCATCTGAACTATCCCCGCAATTGTCAACCAGGTCACAGACTTTAGAATACTCCACACACAGATTGTTGGTGCAAGGGAAGTAATCATTGGTGTATTTTCCTGATTTTTACTGACAAAAGTGAGGTGATTGTTATTGACCAATGTGTAGACTCTGTCCTTAAACTGGTCTTTGCAATCATTGTACTTAATTGAACTTGTGATAGGGCATTTTGTTGAATGCAGACACTTCCCAAGACAGCTCAAATAGAGGTAAACTTCTCCATACAGATGGTTACAATTATACAGCATATCTGGATATATTACTTGCATCCTGCTGTAGACTCCATAGATAGTTTCATTAAAAACGTTAAACTCATCAGATATGCAAGAACTTTGCTGGTGCTCAACGTCATGCAGGCCTTTGACGCAATAAGAAATAATTTTAAAAGTCTCAGCCGTATTAACCGTTGTAGAGACTCTTGCTTTGCCTCTACTCATTTCACATACGTTATTTTCATTTCCGCATGTCTCGAGGCCATCACATAGATCAGGCAGCTCAATGAATCCAACACTTTCGTATGAGCGGCATAAAAACACGTCTTGACAGTCTGGATTCTTTTTTGTGGCAAAACGTGTTGTTGCATGGAAACCACATGTAGGCCAATAAGTAGAATTTTCATCGAGACCGCCAAGACAGTCTTCAAGACCGTCGCCAAGCCATGATTTAGGAATACTTAAAGCTCCTTCATGTCTGTAGTTCCTATAGCATCTCTCCTCAGTCATTGAGAGACACTCTGCCATGTCTTCGTCACTTCCATCCCCGCAGTCCTCCACTCCATCACATAGCTGGTGTTTGTGGCAGGTGCAGTCAGCTGACGCCTCGGTACATTGCAGGTCCATCTTGTTTTCGCAGAGTCCTCTCCTCACTTCGCCACACACCATCATCTTAGAGACAGTGCTAAAACCATACTCTTGGATATGGCACCTCACAGCTACTTTATTGAGGTCACTGCAGTTAGTTTGGTCAATGTAATTTGAGCAATACGGCTTTACATAGAGCCCAGAACTAGAATTAGTTCTCTTGAAACCGAACATACCAGTGATGAACTTGAAACCCATACCGGTAGTGGCTGTGTGGTGGAACAATAGTGCAGCGCACCGGGTAAAATTGAATATGGGTCGGATAAATCTTTCGGTTGTCATATATTTGGTGCTGGTACAGGAGGGAAATTTGCTATCAATTGCAGGCTCACAAATCGATTCTTCACCTTTGGATAGTCCTGCAATCACACAGTCATGGACTCCATCACAAATTCCTGTGGGTTCCATGTATATGCGATTGTGACAATAAAGTCCGTATCTGTAGCCATTACATTCACTTTCATCTTCACAGCTTTCCATTTCACATATATTGTTACAGATTGTCGATATGGAATTTTCTTCTTGTTCCACCTCTGGACATCCTATCTTTCCCAGGTCGGGAATATTAGAGCAATTTATCTGTCGAGAGCATATCTCTCTAACAGGAAGTGCTTCATGAAGTTGACCCCGCTTACAAAGGAAGGATCCGCAGACAGAAATTTCATCATGGTCAGAAAAAACATTCCAATCAGCATTTGAACCACAAACCTGCAAATACGAAATTGAATTGTAGTCGAGAATGCATTCTTACATTGTAAATACAGTGAAGTAAAGTGAAGTAAAGAGGAATTCTTTAATACAGAGGTGCTTTGTTAAATTCTCATAATGAAATAAAATTATTAGGTGCACATAAGTATATTGACCTGAATGGAAAGCAAAAAATAAAATTCATTACCTGGTAGCCAAATGGGTCATTGCTACAAGTTGCATTGAACAGATTGGACGCCATGAAATGTAGTTTTTCCGCAATCCAGTACGTCTCATCCGAGTAGGGACACTTGTACACATCAAATCCATCAAGAATATTAGAGCAGGCAGTTTGTAGAAATCCGTTTGTTTCCTTAATCTTGCAAGACTGACCTCTCCCTGAAAATGGAGAAGAGGCTAGAGCTGTAGCGAGCTTGGAAAAATTAGCTGGCTTAATGCTGCAAAGTGAATTGTCACGATCAAAATATCGTATATATATATATTATATATCAGTTCTGATTTTGTACCTGAATCAACGATAAATGCAGGAGTGAGAATGATGAATTGCATCAACGAGATCGTATAGCCTTTGAACATGGCTACTTTGTTGTTGACATACATCTGTTAATAAGGAATTAATTCGAAGGACGATTGCCTTTTTATTTTTGTTACAAACTATATAACCAGGCAACCAACCAAACGTAGAACTAAATCGTGTTTTTTTTACTATGATTTATAAATACAACATCAATTATATAATTAATTATATAATTATAGATGTATTGTGTCTTCTAAATTTACTATAGAAGTATCCCAAAATGAAATGTCAGACTGTTCACATTCACACTTTTTCATGCATAACTCACATTGGCCATTGCTTTGACATGGTTAACTGCCTTCCTTGTGTTGTTGGTTAATCTGAATAATACTAGCATGAACCCGTTTTCCTCTTAAGACATTAGATCATGTTATTTATTTAATTTGTGTTTTTGAGACCAACTTGAAGTCCATTTTTCGGAACCTAAATTATTAATTTGTTTGTTTGTTTGTTTTTAGAACCCGTCCCCAATCTCGTATCGGAAAATTACTAAACTCAGGTCTGAGTGTAAATACGGGTGGTACCTGCAAGAGTGTTCATTAAGCATTAAATTATTTATTCCTTGGCTAATTTTTTCTTTCTTTATACTGGCCAAAAGCCAACAAAAGCATTCGACCCAGCCAAAAAAGTTTCAAAATTATGTCTCTTACGGTTTTCGAGGAAAGTCTTGTTAAAGTTGAAGTCGTGGTGTCAGTAAAATGGTAACAGATATATAATCTTAAATTTGATCCTTCGAACAGCTGTTGAGCAATGAAACGCAAACATAATCTTATCAAAATGAATATATTTCTTTTATCTTCAGCATTTAATCAGTCACATAATCTCAAATTATTTGTTATATAGTAGTGTTGAAAGTATTAAAACTCAATATAAACAGATATATACAGATATATACAGGGTGGCCCAAAAGTGACTACCCACACGCAACCTCTTAATAACTCACGTAATTCGTCTCCAAATTGCACCAAAATTTCAGAGATTATAGATATGGGTCAAACTTAGATTTACTGAAAGTTTCGTAAACCACGCCCAATTACAGTGGGCGTGGCGTGACACTCCCTCTTTTTCACTATTATCTTCATAAAATGAGAACGCTTTAAGCTAAGAACTCAAAATTGTTTGCACACATTTGGCTTGCTGATTTAAACCTTTTCGAAAGTTTCAAGTTCATTGCTCAAAATTTGGCTGAGTAATGACCATTTCAAAATCCATCGGATACGAGATCCGAGCACTAAGTCAGTGATAAATAACGTCTCGCTTTGTATATAGTAGATGAGCGGGATAAAATAATCATCTCATTTCAGATACGAAATGTATGTACTTAATACGGCATACGTGATACGGATTACATAAACTTAAAGATTCACACTATAGTCAATAGTGCATCGATAACTAAAATTAAAAACTGGTGAATCTTTACAGATTCTCACTTTTCAGTAACTGACTATATAAGGTCAACCAATCAAATATACAGGCCACAGGGGGCCATAAATCAATCAAATATTAAATAAAATGTTCTGCTCGCGATTGAAATATGGATCATTCAAACAAAAACAAACAAAGTTGAGTCTCCAACGGTCATTTTATTTTTATGCAACCATTTAAAAAGTTAAAAAGTTTTCCTTTCTTTGTATGATATATAAAGTTAAATATATCATTTAAAAGGTTCAGCAATGCTGAATGCTCTGCCATACACATTAATTTTATATTTTTTTGTCTGATAATATATCCTGTCCCCTATGACTAACAGATGCTTCTCCGGCCACACAGAATACAAATATTCTCTTTTAAGTAGGCAAAGGATTTAAGTAAAGTATATTAAAATATATCATTAAAGGAAGTTGAAATCATATTCCCACCGATGCAAATTTCTGATGAATCCGTGTATGCAACAAAAGGAAAATGCTCTCTTCAAGTTATTACATGAAAAATAATTTAAAGAATTGCAACTACGGATCAGATTTAGAGTTATCAGATTTAAAGTGATCAGAAGGATAGGGATCAGAAAGAAAGGGATCAGAAGGAAAGAGATCGGAAAGAAAAAGATCGGAAGAAGAAGGATCGGAGGGAGAAGGATCGGAAGGATAAGGATTAGAAAGAGAGGGATCAAAATTCACATTAACCAAGTGACGAGATCACTGACTGAGTGCTCGGATCACGTATCCGATGGATTTTGAAATGGTCATAACTCAACCAAATTTTGAGCAACGAACTTGAAACTTTCGGAAAGGTTTAAAATTAGCAAGCCAAATGAGTGCAAACAATTTTGAGTTCGTAGATTAAAGCGTTCTCATTTTATGAAGACAATAGTGAAAAAGAGGGAGTGTTACGCCACGCCCACTGTAATTGGGCGCGGCGTGGCTTACGAAACTTTCAGGAAATCTAAGTTTGACCCATATCTATAGTCTCTGAAATTTTGTTACCAGTACCTAGTGGGGCCGACCTCAGGCTATTATGTTCATAAACATAACATTAACAGAATAGAGATTCGGCGGAATTCAAATGACAGGCTGAGCACGGCCCAGTAAAAATTTTGGTGCAATTTGGAAACGAATTACGTAAGTTATTATAGAGGTTATTTGACCAAAACCCATAATCATGGGTAGAGTGGACCGCTACCAGTGTCTCTCTTTCCCCAACAAAAGGAAATGATATTAATTTGATTGGCCGTTCTCAAATGCAAAATGATACCGAGAGTGAAATCGGTCGCTCGCTTTTCCCATTCATTCACGGCTTACGAATTGTAATAAGTTTCGATTGATTACATCAATCAAATGCTGTAAAAATCTCTTTGGGTTGCGTTCGGGTCGATACCTAGTATTTCGGGGTAAGGGTGGTAGTTATTACTTATTGAATTAGCTGAAGTTTATTGAATCTTTATTGCCGAGTACATCTGCCTTTGGGTAGTTCTTCTTTATCTATTACAATTGTAAATGAATGGGAAAAGCGAGCGACCGATTTCATTCTCGGTATCATTTTGCATTTGAGAACGGTCAATCAAATTAATATCATTTCCTTTTGTTGGGGAAAGAGAGACACTGGTAGCGGTCCACTCTACCCATGATTATGGGTTTTGGTCAAATATCATCTCTTTTTGATTATAATCTCAGGGTACTTTATAAAGTCAAAATATAAACCATAAACTGATATCTTCATTAATAAGGAGGAAGTTTCAACGATTTCGAAATTTTTCCTTTAAAAACATTTCCTTGTGTTTAGATAAGCATATCAGTCGATCACTGACTGAATATACCACTTAATACTCATTCAAGTTGGCATTAAATTCATATATAATGACATTAAACTGTCGTGGCAAAGCAGAATTTGTTGGAAATCACGAATGAGCAAAATTTTCACCTTTCGTACGTGCAAACTTTGAGTGGACGTTGTGTGCGCATCCAATACTGAATACTGAAATTTTTGCATACCTTAGGTGCAAAAAATTTAATGCCGAAAAATTTCAGCTAAACTCAAAACGCGGACGAAATTTTCCGGCATTAAATTTTTCGTCGACGAAATTTTTTAACGACGAAATATTTGGGACGCCTATTTTTTTGGTATTTTTTGCATCATTAAATTTTGAAAGTTAAAATTGAGTACATACGAATTAATTCAACTTCAGTTAATAATCTAATTTTGAATGATTCATATTTCATACAGTATAAGAATTGAAACATTTCATACCAAAATGATCATAATATCGTAATACTAATATCATAACATTTCTCGCCATCTAATTCTACATTAAATCCGCGAATGGATCCAGTTCACTGACAAAGTTTTCAGAGGCGGCATCGGTTATTCCTGCTTTGGAAAACCCTTTAATCATGTCGTCTTTTCTAGTTGATAGAAAGTTGTAGGTGTCTATGATCCATTCTGCGTGGAGCTTCTTTATCTTGGAAATCCTTGTATCGACGTCAATGTTGTCCTGATTAATACCAGCAGCTAGCTGTGTAGTAATACAGGTCGCGTAATACTTCTCATACTGGTCTCTCATGTGGCTCTTTACTAAACCATTAATCGAAACGTCCAATGGTTGAAAAATATGCGTCAAATTTGGAGGCACCTTTTAGACGATCATATTGAGAGATTCATACAGTGTTAACACTTCCTGAGTCTGCTGCCCCCTGAATACGTCCGATATTATTAGGCTCTTCTGTTCAGGAGGCAATCCGAGCTCTTGTTTCGTCTTCTCGATATAAGGAGCCAGTATCTTCAATACGTAATCTTTTGAAGTGTTCTCGTTAGACCAGTGGTTTGGAGTCATAGTCAGATGAAAGCCAGTGGGAAACTGAACCCCTTTCGGCAGACAGCGGTTCGTCTTTCCCTCATAAATAAGTTGAAATGGCAACAACTTCCCCGAAAGTGTGACCGCAAGATTTCCCGTGATTTGACGCTTGTCTGAACTTCCTGCTATCGGGACTATTGATGATCCCCGCGGAGCCATGGTTCTGCTGCTGACGCTTACGTACTTAAGCGGTGTTTGATCGTGATTAATGATCAAATCTTCGGGGATTTTATGCTCTTTAACGATTTTATTGATATCACACTGGAAGCAAAGTTTTACTTCGGATAAGACACCCTCTGGCACAGGAAGTCGGGCTGTTGTGGCTACTCTTTTTACGAGCTTGACTTTCTTCCTCCTCTCATAATGATAGAGAATTTGCCTAGAGGACTCGTATGCCACTTCGTAATTAGAGTTGTGCTGTAGTTGTTTGAGAACCCCTTTCAAAACACCTCTGATGACACAACCTTTAACGATGGCCCCTCGCAACCGCAGGACATCCAAGATCTCTAGCACTTTATCAATTACAGTATCTGGAATGAGCGTTGGACGGCCTCTTTTCTTGGTTTCTAATTCATTTACAATCAGGTCTCTCTCAATACTGCTCAGTTTGTCGATCATCAACTTCTTGAAGGTCTGAGCAGTCTGACGGGTTAAGCTGGGATGTTGCTTCTTAAAGTGCTTCGCTGCGGCAACAGCACCATGTACCCTCGCGTAGTTTCCTATATCTGCTCTATCTTTAGCCGTCCACTTGTTATACTTTCCTTTCTGCTCAGCTTTCGCTATTTCCTTGTTTACAGCGGCTACGAACTGGGGTGTATTTGCAGGTAAATCATTCGAATCCAGGTTTACAGGGACACCGAAGAAGTGACGAATATCGGTTCGTGGCATCGAAGACATACTGCAGCGGTTACAAACTGTGATATTTCCTGCAACTGCACACCAACGTATACAACAGAACAAGGGTAGAACTACACTCAAAGAGAAGGGAGCCCGATTCGATACTTTCTTTTACAATCCAAGATATTTGTGAACGTGATTGAGATACCCGTCTTGATGTTTGAGATCAGGGATCATTGCTGAGACTTTTGTCTGCATAAAAAACGCTAAAATTCCAGAGAAAGTGTGAAGCTGCATGATCAAGCTTGATGGCCAGGTTCCAAATCAAAATTTACGTACAAATGAGACTAATATAAGATTTCTGTAATCTGATTTCTATGCGAGTACTGGCTTCTTCCTAATTAACCGGAGCTCACAATTCCGCCTTTTCACACTAGCAATTGTTTACGTTCAAGTTCATGTCAGTAGAAGCTGTTTTTAAAACTGTTATAGCCAGTCGTGGCTTTCATGTTTACATGAAATCGACATGGCCGAAGCCAGATCTTAGCGACAAGCTCAAAGTTCAACTGGATAAAGATAACAATGACGACCCTTTTGCGGTAGCTGTTATTAAGATCAATAACACGAAAGATAAATCAGCAGCTGGAGAAGTGGTGGGACACCTTCCGAGAGAAATAAGCAGGCATGTTCATTTCTTCATAAAGTTAGGCGGGAAAGTCGA